GAAGGATGGGATGGTAAAGAATGAGGATGAGGATGAGGTGGAAAGTAGTAAGTTTAAAGAAAGATGAGAAGGGGGTAAGAATAAAGAATGAGGAGGAGAGATAGCTGATAAAAGAGATAAAAAATGAGGATTAAGGATAACAAAATTTGTGGGATAAGGGTAATGAATGAGGGGGGATAGGGGAAAGAGGCGAAGGTAAAGAATGAGCTGCGGGGCTAAAGAATTAGGGGGGAGAGGCGGTAAGAGTAGAAAATGAGGGTTGGACTGGGAGGATGGGAAAAGCTGAAGAGGAGGAAGTGAGGAGGAAAAGGAATAAAATGAGGAAAAGCAGGATTGAAAAATGGGGAGGAATAACTGACAAAAGAAAAGAAAGCAAAGGAGGAAAAAAGGGAAAAGGAGAAAAAGGGGAAAAGAGGAAAAGGATGAAAAAGAGGTAGTTGGCTGGATCAATGGACAATATTTGATTTTGCTAAAATCTTTGTTTCTGAAGAAAATGGGGTTCTAATAAATAGCAGAAATTCATTGTAAGGCTCAATTTGCTCTGATCCTTTCTAGATACTGTATCATGTAAGCATAATAACAATTTATTTCAAACTTTAAAACTTTTTCTAAAATTAAAGAGAAGTCGAGATTTCAAATGTTTTCTAAGTTTTACAAACCCTTTTACAGGGTTACACACAAAGGATGAGATTGTAAAGACGACCTGAAACTCTAATGATATGACGATTCCAAGGTTGAATTAAGTTTTTTGCCTGAAAAATTGTTTTTCATTCTTTTATTTAATGATTTGGAAAAGAAAGAAATGAGTTTAGATTTTCGGGGAATCATAAATAAAAAGAAACAGACAGTCTCATCCTTTGTGGGTCCCCCTGTATGTTTAAATATTTGTGGGTCCCCCTGTATGTTTAAACTTGTGCTGAAATATTATGACTTGGTAATAATGATCCCGCAAAACTTATATAGAAATAATTTTTTTATAAAAATATGCTTTGCTATTTCAATTTTGAAGAAAAATTCATACAATGTTTGTAAATGAATAGATTATAAGAATATATTCATTTTGTCCACTCTCAAAGTTTCTCGGATATTTTTAGGCAAAGTGAGTTATTAGAATAAAGTTTGTTTTGAAGGGGGGAGGGGGGTTGGAAGTTGAGATCCATTCATATATTCACTTATTGTGCGATTTAAAAAAGAAAAATATTCGTTAGCATTTAGAAAATTTATTAACAATATTGAGCTGTTCTGATGCTGTTTTATAGGAGTCATTTATGACAAATTTTTGTCGGATTCGTTTTTTTTTAATTCTTAGCTTTGTTTGATATAAAAACCTTGCATTCACGGTGTATTGAAAGTATTGGTTTTGTTGTTACCAGGTGTCTCAAGAAATAGGGAAAACAAAGGCTTTCTGGAAAAATTGAAAAAATAGGAACATTTTTTTTACTAAATAAAGGAATTGAATTTTTGCCACAAACTGTGATTTTTAATCCTTCTATCTCTGCAAGACCTTTGATATTTCAAACTTTGTATTCTGTCAGATCAAAATTTTTAAGTTTAAAATATCAAGTGTATACTTTTTTTTAGGCTCCAAAGATATAAGGATTAGAAAATTTGAGTTTGTGGCAAAAACTCAATTCCTTTGAATTTGAACCAATCATATATATCTGTCAGTACTCAGTACTCAATCTTTAAGGGCGAAAAATGAGAGACCAACATTTAGAAATCCCATAGAAAAAAAGTTTACAACATTTTATTGGAATATATTTATATTTGTATAATAACAATGCCGCATATATTAAGATGACATAAAAACGTCGCTGAAATCCCATTTCCCATGTTGCTTGAAGAATCTGATATATAATTAAGAATTATTGCTACATACTACTGTGATAACTAGAAAACTGTAGAACGGGAAGACGATATTGAAGCAATACTGAAGTTTATTTGGTGTTGTTACAAACCAATAAGCTGAAATTAAATGGGTCTGTTTACACTTAACACTGTTCCTCATGGTCATTGGACTATTGAATGTAATAAATTGAGCCTAAAAGACAACTAACTCTATTCTAGAATTTTCAATAAAAGGAAAATATGAACTTTTTAAAGTCTTTAAAGGGACTGTCCTTGTATTTTCAATTAACCCTCCATTTGAAGAAGCAGATTCACGATTCAGCCTTTAATTTAGGATTCAGCAGGCTTCCCTTTAAACCTCTATCCTATCAATAATTTAGGATTCAGCAGGGTTCCCTTTAAACCTTTATCTTAACAATAATTTAGGATTCAGCAGGGTTCCCTTTAAACCTTTATTCTAGCAATAATTTAGAATTCAGCAGGCTACCCTTTAAACCTTTATCCTATAGGATTCAGCAGGCTTCCCTTTAAACCTTTATTCTAGCAATAATTTAGAATTCAGCAGGCTACCCTTTAAACCTTTATCCTATCAATAATTTAGGATTCAGCAGGCTTCCCTTTAAACCTTTATCTTATCAATAATTTAGGATTCAGCAGGCTTCCTTTTAAACCTTTATTCTAGCAATAAGATAGGAAGTTGTCGGTTTTTAGCTTCAAGTAACATTAACAGAGAAACAATTGAAAATAGTGAGAATTCAAAATAGAAAAATATTACTCTTGGGTACTATTAAAAATCTGACATTCCTCGCTATACATGAAGGATCACTGGATATATTACGTGAACAGTTCCTTTAAATTGTCTATGATTTGATAATACCATTAATCATCTTAAATTATGATTTATTTAGGTCTGGACTTGTATCTGATGAGACTTTGAGAAGGAAGAGGTAAATCATTATTTATCCTTTTAACTCTTGTGATATAAAGTAAAATTCATAATAACCCTCCTGCACCTGGGGTGCAAAATAAAATTCATAATATCCCTTTTACCTACCTGTGGTGCAATGTAAAATTCATTATAACCCTTCTACCAGGGTTTAAAGTAAATTTCATAATAACCCACCCTTTCACCCGGGTGTAGAATAAAATTCATAATAACCATTCCATGCACCCGGGATGTAAAGTAAAAATCATTATATCCTTCCTTTTTACACGGATATTATGTGGTATGTCAACTGTAAAGCAATGTTCATCAAAATGAGCCTGCATATATCAGATTTAAAGTGAACAAAGCCGGGAACTTTTCTGTTGTATACTTTGATATCCATTGTGGGCGCTTTTGATTAATCTCTCCAGGGTACGATTAATGTCTATGTGGGATATTGAATAAAGATTAGATTAATCTACAGATTAACAAAAGATCAAGTTTAATTCAAAAGTTCCCACCACAGATTTAATAAATTCCAAATTGATTTAATTCAAATTCTTATTAAATAAAAATCTGCTTTTTTATTTTGTTGAACCTTTCATTAGACATTTTTTAGATTATAGAGTCTGACGTTAACTATAAGAAAGGGGTTTTCTTTAGTTTGCGAAATTAAAACAAGGTGTCAAATGATAAATTGCAAGGCCAAAAATACTGGACGATTCATTATAATTCTAGTTGAATCTTAACAAAGCAATCTTAAATCATTTTACTCTAATTTTTATAAAAATACCAAACAAAAAATTCTTTTTTAAAAAATTTACGCTTCTCATAAGTTTTTTTTCACAAAAATAATCAAAATATTTTGTAGAGAGGAGGAAATGGCATTGAGGGAGAAAGCCAGGTATTCCTTTTTAAAATTAAATTGACAAATCTATAAGTTTCGTTTGTTACTTTTATTATTTCTTTATTTTTTGGTCTGAAAGTTGTACATATTTTCAAATATATCTTAGAGTTTATATATAGTTTAACAAATGTACACCATGTACACTGTACAATTAATTAAAAAACCATTAATCAGACCCATTTGTAAAAAACAATGTAAAATAAAATAAATAAACTTCAAAACTATAAAAGAATACAAGTTTCATCTTCATTTGTAAATTATCACAAAAATCAATGAACATGAAAGAAAACTGCAACTGTGCTCCAGTTATTTCTTTACTTCAAAATTTTCTTTAAAAAAGATTTTCTTTTACAGAATTCTACGAGCAGAGGCTGTTACTAAAAGAGAACAAGCTGCTCATCTTCAACGGTAAATTACAGAGACTCCGTTAAATCGATTCACAACGGTACCCTTCAAACTTTAATCTGATTCACAATAATCTGGAAAAGTGTTCTGTTAATTTTCTCCAATTTTTTCTGAAGCAAAAAGCTCTTGATCAGACAAAACTTTAAAGGACACCGTTTGAATAAAACCATATAGTGAAAACCAGAAAACCGTAGAATAGAAAGACGACATTAAATCAATACTGAAGAACATTTTATGGTGTTACAAAGCTTTACTAGATAGTTATCAAATTACTTATCAAGTGAAATGGGTCTGTTTACACTGCACAATTGTTAAAGCAAAAAAATAAATTAAAGCTTTTAGACTAATGAATGTAACTTTTATATAAGGCAACTGTTGTAGTTTTAAATTTCAAAATGGCGGTTTGTGAGGACGACATTATTTTGATTAATTTTTCAATCTGTTTTTAGTGAAGAGGAGAGACTGGGTGCCGAAGCTGATGATTTGGATCGAGAGATTGTGGATATGGAATGGCAGGAACCCATGTCAGTAATTTTCAAAAAATTTAAGTTTTTTTATGAACGTACAATTTGTTCACAAACTTTAAAAAACAGTCAATTTTTTACTGAATGAACAAATTTTTATCAAACTCAAAAAAACGACAATTTTTACCGAACGAACGATTTATTGAACGAACAGTTTTGCTGAAAAAAAACGATTCTAATAACGAACGTTGAATAGGAAAAAGGTTAATAATGAAAACTAAATTTTGAAAACAAACTAAATAATTTTTTTAAATGATGGGAAAAAAATTAAACGAGATAAACGGCCGACGTCTGAAACGAATAAAAACGAATGCGCCCATTTCCAACGTTCTTATCATAAAAATCGTTTGCTTTTTTATTAGAAAAAATGCAGAAAACATTTGACTGAAGTTAGCAATCACAATATTTAAAGAGTAATTATTTTCCTTGCTAGAAAATAAACAAATGGCGGCATTTGGATTTTTTTCTTAGAAATATATTTCATTTAACAATGTTTTTTTTTAAGGTTGGAACAGAGGATTGCAGAGGTTGAATCAAGACATGAAACATATGTCCGGGGTAATAATCTTTTATAATTTAACAATTGCTTCAGTGGGATGTTATTTTACAGCTGTAGGCAACTATAGCAAGCTTTTTTCGAATTACAAGTTTAAAAGTAATTGATAAGATATTTCTTTTATTTCTTCTGGCTTCTATGTATATGTGTAACCGTGCTACTTAACAGCAGGATATAAATAAGATTTAAAATCTACAATCGATTTCTTTGTATAGATAAAATCGCCTAACACTGTAATTCAATATCCCAAGATACAGTGTTTCCCCATTTGGTAATAATAGATAAATAACGATTTAAAAAAAAGATAAATGTAAAGATATCAATTGAGATAAAAGCTTTAATAAAAAAGAAAAATAATTTGGTTAAAAAATTTAATGTAAATTTTATTTTAGAAAATAACGACACTGAAGCATCAATCAACATGTATAGGTAACAAATGTGAAAATTTCGGAGTAAACAAATAATGCTGTATTTGTTCTAAAGAAAGGATTTGAGTTTTTGCCACAAGCTAAAATTTTCTAAGCTCTATATCTTTGCAACCTGATGGTGTAAACCGATCATACTTCAAACTTAGATTATTTAATCCAACAGAATTCATAGCTTGAAATTTCAGAAGTCTACTAAATCGGGTTGATAAGATATAGGCGAGAAAACATAGAATTTGTGGCAAAAACTCATTTCCTTTACATAGCTTTTGTTTTCAGAGATGCTTCGAGGTGGAGACGAGATCAAGAGGCCGGTCTAAGACAAGAGGCTGAGAATAAGAAAAGAGAGGCTGAGAGGTTGCGTGGTGAGGTTAGTATATTCATATATTCATAATTTTGGGGAGTGAAATTGATGTATCTGAGGCCGAATTTAAACCGCCTCGCTGAACTGCCAAAAACTGGTTCCAGCTCAAATCTCGAAACACTGAATACAATTGAAATGTATTCATCACTAATAATTTATATAAGCTCGCTAACCTCACACTTTACTGTTTACTTGCTGTATAGCTAAGGGAGAGCCTCATACAGCCTGGAACATCTGTGAGGCTCTCATTCTGTATAGCAGTGGCTCCCTTTGACTGGACCTTCCTTCCTCCTCTTGTCAAATTTCTTCAATTTTTCAAGTTTAATCTGACTAAACCCAAATATTCTTTTTGTTTGCCTAATTCTTGTTAATTCTGGGAAACCAACACTCAAGTATTAAAATTACATTAAAAGCCAGAAAACTATGGATTGGGAAGTTGAACTTATATATTCCAATGTACACAATAATTGTGTAATATAAACAGACCAATTACACTTAATAAGTGATTTAATAACTTTCAATTAAAGCTATTTGCGTTGTACCAACATCAAATGCACGCACTTTGCAGTATTGCTTTAATGTCGTCTTCTTATTCTACAGTTTTCTGTTTTTTTTTCTGCAGCAAATCTTCCTGGTAAAAAAAACCCCACTAACTTGCATTCTAGGCTGGGCAAAGCTGCCTTTCTGGAATAGATCATAGATCTCATGGAAATATGGCACAAGCGAATCCAATACTTCGCCAGGTGGAACAGCTGTAAGTAAATTGATAATTATCTCTACAATAAAGCTCTTCGCTCATGTATATATATTTATATGTTAGCTATAGTTGGTCAAACGGCTGGACCAAATTGGCTGATTCATAAGTGTTTTTAAAATTCCACGGGCAATGCCGGGCACTTGAGCTAGTTTTGAATAAAATGGGAATTTTTCAATAACATTTTCCATTTTCTAGATTTAAAGGGACTGTCAGCATAATTTATAGATTTAAAGGGACTGGAAGCATAATTTCTAGACTTAAAGGGACTGGAAGCATAATTTCTATATTTAAAGGGACTGGAAGCATAATTTCTAGATTTAAAGGGACTGGAAGAATAATTTGTAGATTTAAAGGGACTTAAAGCATAATTTCTAGATTTAAAGGGACTGGAAGCATAATTTCTAGATTAAAAGGGACTGAAAGCATAATTTCTAGATTTAAAGGGACTGGAAGCATAATTTCTAGATTTAAAGGGACTGGAATAATAATTTCTAGATTGAAAGGGACTGGGAGCATAATTTCTGGATTTGAAGCATAATTTCTAGATTTAAAGGGACTGGAAGCATAATTTCTAGATTTAAAGGGACTGGAATAATAATTTCTAGATTGAAAGGGACTGGGAGCATAATTTCTGGATTTGAAGGGACTGGAATCATAATTTCTAGATTTAAAGGGACTGGAAGCATAATTTCCAATTTAAAGGGACTGTGTGCGTAATTTCTAGTGACTCTCCATGCGAAAATGCAATGTTTGATTCAAAACGGAACCGTTGAAATCTTTATTTGATCCAAAAAATTTAGAAAAGTTGGTGATTTTTCTGGGTGTTTGTCATTCAAATAATTCCCGTTTGTTTTCCTATACAGTGGAACCAAGAACTTTGGAGACACCAAAATAATTTATGAAAGCTCGTTTTCCTTTACTGGAACATTGTCCAGCCCTGATCATTTACAATATGAGATACGGTACGAACCTCTCAATATCTTTATTAAGGTTGAATGAGGCAGAAGAGCTTGATCGACAAGCAAATGAACACCTGAGGAATAATTTCTTTTTACTTAATTATAATATTTTTACAATATTTTTATTTCCAAGTTAAATTTTAAGTTTCAAGATTTTTAGGCAATTAATTTTCCCTATACAGCCAAATAGAGAGGAACAACGATGAAGTTCAAATTCTGATGGCTCATGCAATGGCGAACGCTAGATTCAGGTCAGTCATTTAAAATTGCTATCCCTGTATTGTTAGGCACATATGATAACTCATTATTTTATACAGAGAACATTAATTTAAAATCTTAATTAAATATTGATTTTAGAGGTGAACTCAGAGAAGCAATGGCAGAATTTCAAACTAAGGTATGATTGATTTATTGATTTGATTACAAAATATAAGGGGAAGGAAAAGGGAAAAGGTAAAGAAAAGAGGAAAGCAAAAGGGGGAAATGAAAGGGTAACAACGGAAAAAAGGGAAGGGTGGGGAAGTGGGAAGGTAAGGAGGGGGAAGGGAAGGAAGTGGATAGGAAGGGAAAGAGATAGGTAGGGAAGATGAAAAATAGGGACGTGAAGGTTTGGAGGGAAATGAGAAGATTGATAGGGAAAGGGAAAGGTTGAGAGGGAAAGAGAAATATCGGGAACTACGGAAGGGGCAGAGAAGGGAAGTAGAAGAGGGAGGTAAGAGGAAGGTAGGGTATATAGGAAATGGGAACTCAGGGAAGGGGAAGGTAGAGAATCGATGAAGGTTGGCAGATAAAGAAGTGAAGGAAATGGGAATATTGGGAAGGGAAGGGCTGGAGCTCTTTACCTCTACATAAATTTGAATAAAATCAAAGAGTTTTTCATAAATAATTTTCCCCAATATTTATAATACAATACAGAAAAATACAGTTTACATTGTTGTCCAATCTATTCTCATACTGTAATCTTATATCTTATATCCTTACCTGTATTCTCATACTGTAATCTTATATCTTATATCCTTACCTGTATTCTCATTCAGTATTCTTATATCTTATATCTTATATCCTTACCTGTATTCTCATACTGTATTCTTAATCTTATATCTTGAAAAAAGTTATAAATAGCAAAGCTTAAAAAGTAAGAGGCACGCCGCATGCTAATTTTTTTTACCTGAAAACTCAATGTGGGTAAAATTAATGAATGTAGACTAAAACTAGACTTTTAACTTATCCAACATTATAGTTTATTAAGATAGATATTTTGCCTGTTTTCTTTCCCTTAATTGCTATAGAATAATTGAGCAGCTCTTTACATCAAAACAAAACAAAAAACTGGAGGTTTAAGATGTAGGGAATTCAGTTAAAGTACAAGTAAATGTAATACTAAAAATTTTGAATCACAAATAGCCAATACTTACTTATACAGGGAAAGTAAATGATGTAAATTCTTGTATAGATCAATGTGGCATTATTTAAAATAAGAAGGTTATTTGAAATCATTATTTTTTTAGATATATATTATTAGTATAATATACAAGAATTAATATATAAGCTATTAATATTTATCAGGGACGAAGAGGACCGCTATGGATATGATGCAGGGGAGAGGGAAGAGGAAGCAGATATTGCTGATCGACAGGTGGATAACAATCGAAGTCATCAAGCCAAATATTTTCTTGAAAAATAAATACTACTTCCCTCTTCAAAAAGATTTTCCCTTGATAAGTCAAACTTAAGAAGTTTTAATTTAAAATATTATTCTTTTGATTTTTTTTATTGACTTCCCAAGACCAATCTTTATTCTATTTTATTTGAAATTGAAACGTAGTTTTGGGGATTTTTATAATTGATTGATTGATTTAGGCTGAGGAAGCAGAAAGAGAGGCAAACAGAATCGCACAAGAACTGGAATTGTTGTATCAAGAAAATCAAGCCTTCGGAGGCCCAGGAGGGTCAGGAGGATCCGGAGGTGCCAGTGGGTCTCAAGGTTCTTGGGGTGCCGGGGGCTCTGGAAGTTCAAGAGGATCTTCAGGTGCAGGAGGTTCAGGGGGATCTTGGGGTGCCGGTGGGTCTGGAAGTTCAGGAGGATCTTGGGGTGCCGGAGGTGCTAGCAGATGGTAATCATTCAGAGCGGTACTAGTGTTGCCTGATTCAATGCAGTACAATGATTCTAGTCTAGCCCTTAGTTATAATGGCCTGTCTAGTGTGCAGGTGTTAGGTTGACCAAACCCGTTTTCTGCAACAAACATAGGCAGACCAATGCAGACTGATCCAGTGTGTATTGATTGATTGATTAAGATCAATCCAAGTTCTGTTAATAAGAATAATCTCTGTTTTTTCTACATATATTTTTATATTTAATCTAGTATGATTTTATTAGATATTGATTTTACTTTATAATAATGACCAAGAATGTAAGAACCCATCCTGGAAAAGTTCTTTACATGATGTTTCTGAAATCTAATTCATATGTGGGTATCACTGTATATATTGCTTAAATGCTTCTTCAGAAACTCAGTTTAACATTGAAAGCTTCATTTAATTATAAATATAATTAAATGCCTGAAAGTTCTACATCTTTATAAAAAGTAATAGGCTTGAAATTTCAAACACACAGTTTTTTTAACTATTGAAATTTTGAAATTTATGTAACAATCTCTGTAAACTTATAAAACATTTATAAAAGGTAATATTCTGCGATATTACAGTATAAAAATAATTATTTTAAAAAGAAATCTTACTTTTTTGCTTTTGCTTATCTACTATATGCATTTACATTAAACCAGCCTTCTCAAATATAGCTTCTGATACTTCTGATCACAGTAATAGATATATTTTCTAAAATATGAAACAAAAAAAAATAACTTTATTGTATATTAAATTATGTCAACTGTATGCTGAAATAATCCTTTTATGTTATAATGATACTATATTAAATTGATACTATATTTAAAGAAAAAATACAAAGTCTACCTCACTAATGATTTACAAAATGTACCTTTTTTTTAAAATTAGTTTCAGAATAAACTTTAAAAAATGTGATATCTGGATATCTCTCCTCAGCCCGATACTTTCAAAAAAGCATTATTATTAATATCTTGCTTCGCATAGTAAAATGTTAGTTCACTTTAAGATAGCATGAAATAAATGAATATAAAAATTTAGTTTGTTCACTCTGAGTACACACGAAACTTTATATTTTTTTGTATTTAAAAATTAGAAGAATAATTCTTTTGCCAAAAGTATGACTTCAAATAGATTTTAAAACAGTTTAATAAAATATATGCAATTTTTTTTTCAAAAATACTAAATTTTGCAGATTTTCTAAATTTAAACAAATTGAAAAAATGTCTCCCATACAAAATTTTAAAACGTCTAACGCCCTCCAAGACACGGCAAATTTAAAGGTGTCAAGCTCTTCTGCAAGAATCAATTACAATTTTTCCAATTACTTCTTAAAAACTAAGCTAACAACAGGGCATAATATTGCTTAAATGTACCAGTACTAGGCTTTTGGGGCGCTTCGCGCCCATCTTCTATTTAAATTGTGAACATGTTCTTTTTGTTTACATTTTAAAACAAAGAAGAAACAAATTTTGCGGATTTTTAAAAACCTTTAAAACACATTTTTAAAATTTTTTATCATTCATAAACTTTCCCTGTGGTCATGTGATGTGCCACAAAAAAATTGGGCCCGATCGGTTCAGCCATTTGACGTTTATTGGATACAAACAAACAAACAGACAGACAAGCCAAATTTTTATATAGATAGGGATACAGAAAAGCAAAAGTGGGCTAAAGCAAAAAAATCAAAGCGCAAGGCGTTGCGACACTTCAAAGTTGATCCTGACCTAAAAATTAACGAGATTTTGTATAAGCAGACTAAATCTATGTGATAGGGGTCATGTGAGTTGCCACACCAAACTTTTAGCAGTGTATTGAAACAAAAAAGCCAACAAAGAGTTCAAACTACTTAGAAAACTTGAGATCAATGAGAGAGATATCGTCTTCTCTCTTTTAAAACATGCTGAATTCTGACAACAATCTACATCGTCTCAGAAGCATGAAGTCGCAAGTCACTTTTATTGAGAAACAGCAACTTAAAATAATGAATTTTCAGCCAGAATCAATTTAACTCATTCTCCCGTAATCAGACAAAGGTTTAGAGGGTAACCTTGTAAATGGGACTTTAACTCCAGGCTGTTGCCACTTTCTAAAGTTCTTTTGTTCCAGTAGTAGCTGCTCACAAGTACATCTTCTGCTTTGAACCTCTTTAAAATTAGGCTTTCTAATGGGCCCCTTTTTGCAAATTTATTTATTCTTTGCCAAACAAAATTTTCCATTTGTAAAAAAAATTATTTGATTTTTGCCGACTTTTCTGTTTTCTGAAGTTCCAAAAAAGTAAATTTTTGATGCAAACAATTAAATATCCTTTAAAAAAGACCTTGACAGGGGGGGGGGGATGGGAGGAAGTGAGTATAATTTTTTAAATTTGTTGTTGACAATATTAACGCACAGAAAAAAACTAATTAACATTAACAATTTTATTTTAAAAGAAAATACAACAATTTTAATCTACATATTACTACAGTGCTAACCACTGTATATAACAATTCAATTGTCATCATTTGGCAGTTCTGTGGCATTTTGGAAAAAGGAGATTTATCCAGTCTTACTGAGATATATTTAAAGAATAGATCTCAGAATCTTACTGAGATATATATAAAGAATAGATCTCAGGATCTTACCGAGATTTATTTAAAGAATAGATCTCAGGATCTTACTGAGATATATTTATAGGGTAGATCTCAGGGTCTTACGAAAATATGTTTATAGGATAGATCACTGGGTCATACTGAGGTATATTTATAGGATTCATCTCTGGGTCTTACTGGGATATATTTATAAGATAGATCTCAGGGTCTTACTGAGATATATTTATAGGATAGATCTCAGGGTCTTACTGAGATATATTTATAGGATAGATCTCAGGGTCTTACTGGGATATATTTATAGGATAGATCTCAGGGTCTTACTGAGATATATTTATAGGATAGATCTCAGGGTCTTACTGAGATATATTTATAGGATAGATCTCAGGATCTTACTGAGATATATTTATAGGATCAACTTCAGGATCTTTATACTCTAATTTAGGAAACTCAGTCATATTTTCACCACTTTTTCCTCCATACTGAAATTAAAAAACAGTAATCTTTTAAAATTCTTTCTTTTTGCTTTAAAATAACTTTAAAAAGGTAAAATTAAATGAATTAAATAAGTTAAACCCCCCAATTCCTCAAAAGAAAAGATCTCCCTATTAAAAAGAACGTTTATTTCGGGCAAATTGAAATCAGAATTAGACTTTGGAGAAAATAATAAATATTTATAAAAAATAACAGTGACACCCATACAACTGTACAGTAGGAAGACAACTGTTAAATTCAAGGTAAAAAAGTCCAATAAACTTGAAAATCTCAAGTCACTTTTATGTTGATTTTTAAGCTACTAGTAAAACTATAAGCCTTAATAACGACATAAAATATGCACAGGCTTCAATGTCGTCTTCATATTCCTTGGTTTTATGGGTCTTACTGTAAACATTTTTTGTTGGAATTTTATAAATGAAAAAAACTAGCATCTTTAAAACGCATAAAAAATTAGCACTTGTTATTTTGGAATTTGAAATTATTCTGTTCTACCTGTTTGGCTAGACGTTCCAGCTCCGCCTCTAGCTCCGCCTTAACCTCGGCGGATGCATTGTTTAAACCTCCTGCTCCGCCACTAGACCGGATACTTGCCAGGAACAGGCTCTGTATTGGATCTAAGCAAGAGAAAGAATTTCAACATTTTTCCAACATTTCCTTGAGAGTAGATTATAAAATTTAATCAAAAATCTAAATTTCGCGATTTTATAAACATTTTTTCAAATTTTCAAGCAATGTGATAATTTCAACACCTTTAAATAAAACAAAATAATTCATGGAAGTGTTAATTAGTAGAAAAGAGTGATAGATCACATAATAGTTCAGCACTATGTACTCTCATTATCCCATCTATAACTGGAGCAGGGTACCTTTTTCAAGTCTTCAATTTTAGTTCGTCAATTTATTATTTTCAAAGGGGTATTTGCTTAAATTTTATTCTTTTACAGAGACGTCCAAAAATTGTTCGTAATTTAATTCAACTATTTATAACTTTGTCTTAAAAACGTCTGTAATTTTGCACAAATTCATGCACACTGCACACTGAATGTTTTTTTACAAAAAATATGTGAAAGGATTTTTTTTAATGTTACCTTGCATAGTTCTTACAGCCTCTTCATCAGCAGCTCTCTTTGCAGCAGCTTCCTCAGCAGCTACTTTCTTGGCAGCAGCTTCTTCAGCTGCTTTCTTGGCAGCAGCTTCTTCAGCTGCTTTCTTGGAAGCAGCTTCTTCAGCAGCTTTCTTGGCGGCAGCTTCTTCAGCTGCTTTCTTAGCAGCAGCCTCCTCAGCTGCTTTCTTGGCGGCAGCCTCTTCTGCTACCTTCTTAGCCGCCGCATCCTCAGCTGCTTTCTTTGCGGCAGCTTCTTCAGCTGCTTTCTTTGTGGCAGCTACTTCAGCTGCTTTCTTTGCGGCAGCTTCTTCAGCTGCTTTCTTGGCACTAGCTTCTTCAGCTGCTTTCTTCGCTGTAGCTTCTGCAGCTGCCTTCTTTGCTGCCACTTCTTCGGCTGCTTTTCTTGTTGCTTCTTCTTCGGCTGCTTTCTTAGCCGCTGCCTCTGCAGCTGTTTTCTTGGCGGTAGCTTCTTCAGCTGCTTTCTTTGCTGCAGCTTCTGCAGCTGCCTTTTTTGCAGCTACCTCTTCGGCTGCTCTCTTTGCCGCTTCCTCTGCAACTGCTTTCTTTGCTGCTGCCTCTTCAGCTGCTTTCTTTGCTGCTGCCTCTTCAGCAGCTTTCTTTGCGGCCACCTCTGCAGCTGCCTTCTTTGCAGCTGCTTCTAGGGCAGCTGTTTTTGCACCAGCTTCTTCAGCTGCTTTCTTTGCAGCAGCTTCTGAAGACAATGCTGCTTCATCTCGAGCTTTTTTTGCTGCTAAGGCTTTCTTGGTGGCTTCTTCTGCAGCTTTTTTGGCAGCGGCTTCTCTAGGATCAACTTTTTTTGCCATTGATGCCATATCCAAATCCTAAACATAAAAAATATGTTAAAAAAGCTTAGGTATGCTAAAATTATATAACAGATTTGATGATTTTTGGTATAATGCGGTCCACATAGAAGACTCTAAATTTGACATAGAACAATTTTTATTTTGAGACTGGTGAGTAAAACCGCATTGGACTTTTCTGAAAAAAAAACTTGGAAATAAGATGGCTTTAAAAGATTTTGAGATGTATTAAACCATCTCAAATGCAACGTTTATGTGTCTAGCTAAAAAAAGTTTTTTTTTAATATTTACAATTTATCTTTAATGTGAAAGCTAAAATAAATGTCCTCTGTATGGCTATTCAAAACTATATGATCGCTACAAGCTACTTGGACTGAAATTTGCGATTTTTCTCCGCAAATATCTGAACAAAGACAGTAAAAAAGGGGTGGCAAAGCCCTTTTTCAATTTTTGGTTTTTAAGGGAGTGTTCAAAAAAAATGAAAGGGGTTATAGGCTTAATGCGATAAAAAAGCGCTTTTGATTGCTACTAATATTACTTCTATCTGTTGCGTCTATAAGGAGAAAATTGTTAAAAACTACTAATACCAAAGATTGTTGTGTCCATAAAAATTAAGAAAGATGCAAAATTCAACTCGGATCGTAAACAAATCAATTTAATTCCAAACAAATCATTCAGATATTACAAACAATAGTCATCGATTATTTTTCGACGCATTCGTAAATAGTTGATATTTCATAATATTTTGTATATTTCATGATATGAGAGTTACTTTTGAAAACATTTATTCCTGTTTCGAGGATTTTTAATAATGAAGACGACATTTTCATATTTTCCAGGAATGTTTGAAAATCCAGCGCCAGCGAAAATTGTTTAAAAAAAGACAAAATAAAAAATATTATGAAATATTAACTATATACGAATACGTCGAAAAATAATCGATTGACTACTGTTTGTAATATCTGAATGATTTGTTTGGGATTAAATGGATTTGTTTACGATCCGAGTTGAATGTTGCATCTTTCCGAATTCGTATGGACGCTGCGTTCTTTAGAAGTAAGATTAGTAGCGATCAATAGCGCTTTTTATCGCATTAAGCCTGTGCCCCTTTCATTTTTCGAGAACACTCCCTTTAAAGTACCCCTTTTTTCAAGGACTTTCCATTAACGGTCGGGTAAATCTTCAAAGTTTACTCCAAACCCTGTGAGCAAGTCCAGAATCCTGGGAGCACTCCAAAACCCAGGGATCAATTCCAAAACCCTGAGAGCAGCCACCCCTCCTTCGTTCGAGGGACATGAGTTCTAAATCTGCAATCAAGCAGAGAAAAAAATGCTATAGGAAGATGTGATAATCAGATTTAGATAATACTTGATTTTATTTTCGAGCATTTTCAGCATTTTTGGCTCATTTTGCGTTTTAAGGGACATATCCTGATTTAAAAGCATAAACTCAAATTTTAATCAATGTCATTTTTCTCATTGATAATGTAACATCTAAACAGACTAAAAAACTTGAAATAAACTGTTTTTTTCTTCTTCATAAATTAACATTGATTGACAGGCATTAAGAAATATTGATACTTTTGTTCTAACAATATGATTTAATTAGAAACTTGGTAAATAAAAATAAAATGAAGGAAAAAATATCATCTTTATTCTCCCTATTTACAAAATGACTTTTTTAGAAACCAGGAGATGAAATTTAGAGAATTTGACCCGCGGTTTAAATCCGCTAAAACCCGGTTTAAATTAAGCGCCGGCTTAGATCTTGAAACTTTTGATACAAATTTAAGTGGAACCAGCCATAATTAAGCCGCGGCTTAAATTTAAACCGCCGCTCAAATTCTTTAAATTCGGCCACGGGTTCCTGAAATAATTCAGCATTTCATTTATTCTTTCCTTGATTCATACGGAGTTTCAGTAAATTATGAAAATTAGTTTTGTATTGCTACGGGGAATGCGGATTGGAATGGTAATAAAAGTGAGATTTGTGCACAAAACAAAATTAAAAATGATTGGAATTCGTGAAATGTAAGAAAATCTTAAACCTGGACTTGTTTTGAAAACTATCAAGGTTTTGAATAAAGAAAGATCTCCTTTTATAATTTTGATTTTGGAAAATAATGAAATAGTGGCAGTTGTTGTCCTTGTCATGCTTTTACCCCAATCTTTCAATTTGAACCCTTTTTTTCAAATGAATTTACCTTGGGGGGTTTTTCATCTCCGAACCGGTTTGCTGATGTAAACATTGATCTCTTGCTTACAGCTAATCCATGTCTGCAATATAGTAAATAAATTAAAGAGACTGTACGCGTAATTCGAAGTGACACTCCATAAAAAGAGGGCTATACCTGATCCTTTAAACCTTTCACTATTTATATATTAGACAAAGCTTTGTGTGTTAATGTGTTAAAACCCTGTGTACGGTTTGAACATAAAACAATTATTGATATTTCTAAAATATTTAAAAGCTTGAAAACAAATAGTTCAGTAGATTAATAGGGATATGTCGATATCCTTGATCAAGTAAAGGTTTAAAGGGTACCACTGTACGAAGGGAAGGACACTAAAATTACGCTTACAGTCCCTTTAATTTTTAGAAATATAGATTTTTTACCATTTTTTCAGCTTAATTTTCAAAAACTAGTTTTCGTAATTTCAAACTTTTAAGAATATAATTTATTATTTGCCCGGGACAGAGAGCTAAAGGTAAAGAACAGAAGCCAAGTTTAATTGATCTCTGTACAGCAAGGACAAGAAAAAAAGTCTGCGTTTATGGACCACCCAGTCTTCTGCAGTCATCAAAACAAGTAACAAGTAAGAACAAAGACAATTAAAAGTATTCCTAAAATATCGTCTTCTGTTTAGTTGTAATAAATTTACATGTATCCATGTTTATTTCTAGGTTTCTTTGGTCTTGGATTTTATTAATGTTGGCAGGACGCACTCTCACACTTTTGTGAAAGGGGGAAGGGTCGAAATTTGATTGTTCAAGGGTGCAGGTGCAGGGGGTAACACCCCCGTGAACATATAAAATGCCTTTTTTTTGCTGAAAAAAAAGGTGAAATTTTTATTAACATAGGTAGGTATGGTAGTTAGCAGATACTTTTCTTATAAAAGTATAAGATTTTTTTGTAAAATCTTGATAAAAAAAATATATTCAGCAAGAAATTCAACTTTAAAAATCTTTAAATTGCCTCTTTTTTTTTCTTTAAGACTTGCTTAAGTTTTTTTTGTCTTGGAAGTGAAGGTAGTTTAAAAATGAAAAAAAAATAATAAAAGTTGAAATTTAGATTTTGAAAAGTCAGTGGTAGTGAGGGTAGTTTTTAATTTAAATAAAATTCTTGAATAAATGTTGATAAAAAAGTTTCAACTTGTCGGTGGTAGTGAGGGTAGTGGGGAATTGAAAANGAACCCCCCCCCCCCCATGTGTCAATAAAAATTTCAGAATGTAAGCGCTGTAACTAAAAACTGACATTTTTAATTGTTGAAGGTTTATGAATTATATATAAATATCATAATTATATACTTTCTACACAATTTTGATGAATGGTGTACGGTTTGATTTAGATAAATAATAAGTTGCAATTTATGTAAGATTTTACTTTTCACCTACTCATCAATTACTAGATAAATTGATCATTTATGAACATTGGTTTCAAGGCTTGAATATCCATCAGGTGTCATGGCCATGTCGTATTAAAAAACGCCCCCTCCACTACCATTCTCGATCCTTTCAATTATATGATTTAAGTGTACTATGCGGGAACCAAAAAACTGTGAAATAGAAAGACGACATGATAGCAATACCTTTTGTTCTTGATGTTGTTAAAAGCAAATACTTTTACTACATACGTCCCATGTCATATTAAATTATCTCCAAGTTTTAACGCCAAAAAACCCACAATACTCGAAAAACCTTCCGCAAGAAAATTCTTATATTAGCCTTATTCAAGTTATATCAAAATGATTTATTCTTCTTAAATTATCTGATTAGTCCCGAAAATCGAAATTTTGACCGATTAACGATCTAATATGATGTGGGATACCCTGTAGTAACTCGATAAATCACTTTTAAAGTTAATTGGGTTAGTTTACACTGCACAATTGTTGTGTCTCATGTTCATTGGACTATTTGAAGTCATCACTCGAGTCTAAAAGTCGTCTTTTATTACAGAGTTTTCTGGCTCTCCCTCTAAAACGACCAAGCTTATATTGCTTGATTCACTTCCAAAAGAGGTCTTTCATATGCCGAGCTGCTCTTGANCTGAGTCAGACCCAACAGGGTTTATTCAGGGCTAAAGAGAGCCCCCTAAACCATGCAGATGATTTCCAAATGTCGAGAGGGGTGCTGGGTATACGTGTGTGGAGTTAAGCTGGCAATTAGTATATGAAAGAAAGAAGTTGAGTCTTTGCCACAAGCTCAAATTGTCTAATCCCTATATCTTCACAAATACATGAACCGTTAATATTTCAAACTTCGAGATGATTTGATCTAAAAGAATTCATATACTGAAATAATCTAAGGTTTACGACATTGGGTTGCAATGATATAGGGGTTTATTTAGGGTTATTTAGGTTCGAAATCATGAAGTATCTCCAGAGTACACAATGACCTATTTAGGTTCGAAATCATGAAGTATATCCTGTGTACACAAATGACCTGTTTAGGTTCGAAATCATGAAGTATATCCTGTGTACACGATGACCTATTTAGGTTCGAAATCATTAAGTATATCCTGTCACAATGACTTGTTTAGTTTCGAAATCATGAAGTATCTCCTGTACACAATGACCTGTTTAGGTTCGAAATCATGAGATATATCCTGTGTACACAATGACCTGTTTAGGTTCGAAATCATGAATTATATCCTGTGTACACAATGACCTATTTAGGTTCGAAATCATGAAGTATCTCCTGTAACCGGTGTAATGGTTCATGTTTCCCTTCCCTCGGCCATTCTTCAAAATGGAAATAAGGTAAATTTTAACTAAATATTTTTTATATTATTTAAATTTATACTTTGTAATATATCTTAGTTCTTATTTTCTTGTGAATAAATAATGAAAGATATATATATATGTATTGAACTATATTGTAAAATGCTGGGGGGTAGGTGGAGCTGGGTAGAAAAAAGTGGGATTTAAAGGGACTGTAGACTAATTTTAAGTTTCGAATTGAAATATGTCCGATTCACAGCGGTGCCTTTTAAAATTTTATGCTAACAATGACGAAGTATTTTTTATTCACAGTAAAACACTGGCAATTTTTTATCATTTATTTACCGTCTATACAGAAAATTTACATCTTTTTGAAGAAAAAAAATTTTAATCGTGTTTTAAATTAAATGTTCTGAAGTTCACGATTTCTAGACCGGAGAATAGATTTCTTCGTCGTCATTGGTTTTCAGGGTACCATTGTGAGTCGAACTCCCCCTCTCTTAAAATAGAGAGCAATATAGATTTGGATTACAGACTTACAGTACCTTTAAATTAATGTTTAGAATTAAAAGTTAGAATTCAGAGATAAAACCATATTCCCTGGAACATAATTGGGATTAATACAATGATTTTTGTTTTTGTTTTCAACCATTACGCCTAACTACATTCTGATCTAGTTTAACATACTGGAAGATATTAGCGGAGATGTAGATGTAGAAGGACATCCTGGTGTTCATTGTAAAGTTTCAGACCAACTTGACTCATTTGTTGTAGGTAATATTACAGATTATACAGATAAAACAGTAGAGGTAATATTACAGATTATACAGATAGAACAGGAGAGGTAATATTACAGATTATACAGATAGAACAGGAGAGGTAATATTACAGATTATACAGATAGAACACAATAGGTTATATTACAGATTATACAGATAGAACAGTAGAGGTAATATTGCAGATTATACAGATAGAACAAGAGAGGTAATATTACAGATTGTGCAGATAGAACAGTAGAGGTAATATTACTGATTATACAGATAGAACACAATAGGTAATATTACAGATTATACGGATAGAACAGTAGAGGTAATATAACAGATTATACAGATGGAACAAGAAGTGTAATATCGCGGAGTATACAGATAGAACAGGAGATTTAATATTGCAGAGTATAAAGATAAAACAGGAGAGGTATTATTACAGATTATACCGATAGAACACAAGAGTTGGTATCATAGATTAAACAGACAGAACAGGAGATGTAATATTGCAGAGTATAAAGATAAAACAGGAGAGGTATTAGATAGAACACAAGAGTTGGTATCATAGATTAAACAGACAGAACAGGAGTTGTAATATCGCAGAGTATACAGCAAAATTAGTTTCTTTGCATTTTTAGTAATTATAAGATGATTTTTTTATAAAAAAAAACTTTTAGATGATATCTCCTTAAACCTTGACTGTGGTGTGCCCGGCGTACCCTGTATAAAACTAGTGTGTGGTCCCTTTAAACTCAATTCTCAAACATCAGTTGCTAGTAAGTTATACTAATTTAAACTAAAAACAAGCAATTAAACAAACTAACGACTTATTTAACTCTCCATTTGTAAAATGTCATGTCAGATTTATAACAATAAATCTTTTAAATCTAAAAAACTGTAATCGTCAAGGTTGCAATTGTTCTTTAACGAAATAAAAATATTTACTTTTTAAAAGTCGTAGAAATTAAGTATCTACAGTAGAATTTTTTTAAACCGCTTTGCATGTAAAATCTAAAGATATTTTCCCAGGGCACTTAAAATTACGATTACATTCCTTTTAAATAAAACAAAAGTTAAAGCTTTCTAAAATAAAACGTCCTTTTTATTAAACAATTTATCTCGTCATTGGAGTTGAACTTATTTATAAGAAAATTAGTTTTTTATCAGTTTAATAAATTAAGTTAACATTTATTTTTTTTAGAAATAAGAATGAGCGGAAGGATCGTGTCATCAACGATCGTTAAACTTGGCATTAGTGAATTTTCAATCAAAACCTCCGCAGAAGTTTTGGTAACATTTTATTCAGTTTACATTATGAATTCTGAAAATTTAAAGACGACCAAGCTTAATATATGATTTGCATAATATGCATATTCCCTTAACTTCCTTGTAAAGTATAAATTATATTTTATAAACCTAGTCATGATTTCGATACAGCAGATAATTTACGAGGTTTTTAATGTAAAAATATATAATAGCTTTTACGAAATTTACAATCTACAGCTTCATTAAGGACTAAGCCTATAAGAAGAGATACAGCCAACCACGAGTTGGGTTTACTTAAAACCTATTAAAGCAAAACCTCAAGCTTTTACTTGGTCTTTGACGCTTAAGCCGGGTTTTACTCGGTTTAAGCTTTTAAAATCACAGCTCTGCCTAGGGTTTCCAATCGGAATTCCGATGTGCGGAATTGCTCGAAATGGTTGCTTCCGCTGCGCCATTTCATTGCGCGCAATTGCGCTTAAATTGCGAAAAAGGAAGCAATTAAATATTAGTGGAATTGCGTGCAACGGAATTGCTTTTCCATCTAAAAATCAATATTTTAACTGTTCGATTTACAAATTTATTCAGCAGATACAAGAATGGAAATATCTCTGTAGATTTTAGAGTAATCGAGGCCCAAATTTCACAATTGTTTCAACAGTTTTCAAATTTTTAAGTTTCTATTAATTTTCTTATAGTTAATTAACAATTTAAAATGATACATTTTTCATTCGTTTACATTGGATGAACATTAAAATGGAAACTTTCTTTGGTTAAAATTGCAAGGTTCGTTTAATCAAAATTAGATATTTTGCTACAGTGAGAAGCAGAAAACTATGGAACAGAAGGACAACATCACAGTGTATTTGATGTCGCTACAGATTAGCAAAAAACATTAATTAGTATCTTATTAAATCACCTATTCAGTTACATTGGCCAGCTTGAGTCTAAAATGTCGTCTTCCTATGCCAGAGTTTTCTGGTTATCATACTGCAATGCAAATGAATATTATAAAAACAAAAGATTAATCTTAAATTCAATTGTCTTAGCATTAGAGACTAAAATGTTAGTGCAGTTCAGTTTAGTGTATGCCACTACCAAAGTTTAAATTGAATTTTTTGTTTTTGAAAGGAATTACGCATAATTAATTGCATTTATTGCGTGCCATAAGGTTTAAATTGAATGTCATCAAAAAATTGAAACACAAACGCCAGAAAGTTGGACGGAATTTCGCGCTATTGCGCGCAATACCGTTGTGTTTATTGTGTGCAATTAAATTCACTTGCGCGCAAGGGCTCACAATTGTGCGCAAGTAAAATCCACTTGCGCTGGAAACACTAGCTCTGCCCTTCATCACCATTATTAAGATTTTCATGGTGACCGTCCTGAGATTTTTTTGAATCGTCCATATTTACTGCACACTCGACAGTTTCATGTACTGGGTCGAATTTGAACCAGCCAGAGCAAACTGTACAGTACAAATACAGACTATTTGAGGCAAAACGGGACAGTATGTAAAAATGAACTTGAAATGTATTGTCTTGATACAAAGTTTTGATTCTTCCAGGTTCCTGATTTAGATGAGGATATTCTCTCCAAGTATGACGCGAGGAAGAACAAGGATAATTATAGATCTGTTTTCTCGGTGGTAGAACCAAGTATTAAAACTGCTGGTGTAGAAGTATGGAAGGTATTTGCAGAGTCTAGAACTTAGGTTTAAAATTAACAAGCTCATTCAAGAGTTAAAGTAAGAAAATATGGAATTAAAGGGAGTGACCGGCTATGTAAGGTTGTTGAACTGAGTATGCAGTGTTGTGGAAAACTTCTTTCGGATTCATTTGATACATATTAAATTCAGAATTAGTTTTTTTAATTATTAAATAACGACAACGAAAAATAAAGTAAAAATTATAAAGTAATCTAATTAGATGGTTAGGAACATATTTCTCAAGAGAAATTTCATATTTTCTTTGAATTTATTCGCAGATTTCTTCAAAATCTTTAAATGTCGTCTTTTCAACAATAATTTAAATCTGCGAAAATCTTGGTGAAAAATGAGAAACTAGAATACTGAGAAAATAGAAAATAATAATTGAACAAGATTACTTATTTTCGATGATGAGATTAATTTTCATTTTCTCAATATGTTCCTATACATGACGTCTGTAGTTAATTGTAGAACTTGTTTACATTTTATGTTGTCGTTATTTAATAATTTAAAAAACTAATTCTGAAAACGTATCCACCCCACTTGTTTAGTGGGAGACCCTGTATATTATTTTTAAAATTT